CACCCAGCACACACACTTTTTGCCCCACTCCCCTCAGGAAGGAGGTTAAGGAGCATTAAGTGTAGAACCACTAGACTGAGGAACAGCTTCTACCCTGAGGCTGTTGACTCATGAATCTCTAACTAGAATAATCACTGTGAAAAACCATATCATGTTGCTGGTGATCTGTTTAAATGTTGATGTGTTCATGCGTGCACATCTGCTCACAGACTCATGTTCATGTTTGTGCTGATGTTCAATGTTTTTAAGTTATGAGTGCTTAGTGTATATTTAGTTGATGTTTTTCTTAGTTCATATCTTAGATGTTATTACTATTTTTCTTATACATTTTATTGTTGGATGTAACTGGGACCTTGTGTACATAATTTCGCTCCACCACATGTACCACATGAAGTGCGAATGACAATAAAGAAACTCTGACTCTGACTCTGAAGGTCATGTGCAGCTTGAAACCGTCTGGTTCCCCCTTTGATGTGGTCCCCCCTTGACTACTAAAGGAGGTTTTTCCAACTCTAGGTCCGTCCATTTTTACTATAGTAAACAGTAGTTTATCCACTGGCGTGGTGCCAAAATCCTTTAAACACGCTGCTGTCCAGCCTCTCCTGAAAAAACCAAACCTTGACCCCTCAGTCGTTTCCAACTTCCGGCCTGTCTCCAAACTCCCATTTGTTTCTAAACTACTAGAGAAAATAGTCGAGTCCCAGTTGAAGTGCTTCCTGGAGGGTCACGCCATCTTAGAGCTATTCCAATCTGGCTTTAAACCTCTCCATAGCACTGAAACTGCCCTGCTGAAGGTCTTTAATGACATTTTCTTAACCACTGATACCGGTGATTCTGTGCTGCTTGTCCTGTTGGACCTCACAGCCGCCTTTGACACCATCGACCATGAGATCCTCATTGCTTGGTTGGAGCAGTGGGTGGGGATCACAGGGTCAGCCCTCAATTGGTTCAGATCCTACCTCACTGACAGATCCTTTTGTGTCTCTATCAAGGATTTTAGTTCTGCAACGGCGGCAGAGCTTAAATGGGGGGTTCTGCAGGGGTCCATCCTGGGTCCCCTCCTATTCTCTTTATACCTGCTGCCGCTTGATGCTATTTTCCGGAAACACAACATGCCCTTCCACTTCTACGCCGATGACTGTCAAATTTACTTCCCCCTAAGACAAAATGGCACATGCTCTATTCAACCTCTGCTCGACTGCCTGGCTGGCATCAGGGACTGGATGGCTTTAAACTTCTTAAGTTTCAATGAAAAGAAGTCTGAAGTCATGTTGTTCCCTCCCAATGACACGATCACAAACCACTGCATCGACCTCTCCGCTCTAACCCTGTCAGAAAAACAAAGAGTCACTAATCTGGGCGTGATAATGGACCCTTCCCTGAAACTTAATCTTCATGTTTCTTCCAACTGAGGCGGCTGTCTAAACTGAAGCCCATATTGTCCAAAAATAACCTGGAGACAGTAATACATGCATTCATTACATATAGGCTTAATTACTGCAATTCACTCACGTTTGGTATCTGTCAGACCTCGATTGCACGACTACAACTGGTCCAGAATGCAGCAGCCCGATTTTTAACCAGTACAGGCAAAAAAGAGCACATTACACCAGTTTTGGCCTCACTGCACTGGTTACCGGTTCACTTTCGAATCCAGTTCAAAATACTACTGTATGTCTACAAATCACTGAACAGTCCCCCCCCCCCCCCAATCTCTCTGATCTGCTACAACCGTATGTCCCACCACGTTCCCTGAGGTCAGCGGACCAGTTGCTCCTCACAGTTCCAGGAACTCGTCTTAAGCGTAGAGGTGACAGGGCCTTCTCTGTAGCAGGACCAAGACTCTGGAACGAGTTACCTGTGCTTGTCAGACAGGCCCCCTCCCTCTCGGTTTTCAAGTCCCGTTTAAAAACCCACTACTATTCGGTGGCTTTCAACACCAGATGATCTGTGTTTTGAACCTGTATGCTCCACACTGGTTTGTCGTTATTATCTGCATCGTTTTTATGTCTATATTCTGATTTACGTCATTTTGTATATTGCTTTGTGTGTTACCTGTTGTTTCTGTCTGTACAGCACTTTGGTTGGCCTTGTCGCTATTTTAAGTACTCTATAAATAAAATGGTATGATATGGTATAGTATGAGTCAAGCAGCGAAGCATCATGAAGTGATGAACATACAGTCTGAACATGTGTTGAAAGCAAGCTATAGTCCGTGAAACGCCATCTGGTGGCTGATTCTTGTACTATAACAAGAGAGCTGCACATTATGCCCAGAGCTGGCTGGGCACAGATCTTGCCAATGAACGGTGGATGTCCATGGCTTAATAACAGGAGCGTCTTTTTATGTACAAAATCATGATTTATCTTATATTTTAATACCTGCGGCTTAGAGACAGGTGTGTTTTATAGCCCGAGAATTACAGTAATCGACCTGATTATTATTATGGCCAAGTTTTATATACATAAGTGTAAATTCAAAGGTACTAAACCATACATCACTGCTTTTATAAATTAATTCAACAGTACATTCAATCTGTTCAACCTTCAGGAAAGCAGAAAGCAATTAAAACTGTAGAAGCACATATCAGGTTCAACTTCTTAACGTAGTCTGTTATCACGTCCTAATATTTAAACTGTCTGGTTTTGAACTGTATAACTGTTGTGGTTATTTTATGTTTATGTAACATTATTCCTCTGTTGATATTACTCATCGTCTCATGTGCAAGGTTTTTGATCTGTACTGTTATTTGTTCAAATAAAGTTCAGTAAAAAATAACAAAATAAAAACATGTGTATGAAAGCTTCATTAAATTATCTGGAGCGGATCCGAAGTCATGTCCTGGACAAAGGAAAATTTACAGACATACAAATGGATGGAAACTACACCATGATACGTCTGTCTTTCAACAGGTGAGTAGTAAAAGTGCTCCATCTCTGTCATCACATTTTAAACATTTAGGTGGTTTGGTTGTTTTAACACATTGAAACAGTTAACTGGACCATGTCTAATTACTATTATTAGACGTTCATACATAGTTTTATCATAGAACAGATGCATAACATACCGTGGTGAGTTGAATCCACTGTCAACTGTGACCGAACTGGAGTCCATACTGTCTAGTCTACCAGAGTGGGCTGATTGCTGGGTCTGATGTGGCTCAGGATGGTTATCTTTAACACCAGAGAAAGTAAGGGTTCTTTCAAACCTCCTGTGCAGATCCCTTGCCTTCTCTCTCTCCAACAGCCACTGCATAGTCCCTGCTTCACGTCTTTCCAGCCCAGGAACAGGTCCTTTTGTTTTCTCGTCCCCATCTTTACTTTTAGCACCCCCATCCTCGAGTTCCTCATCATCGGAGACATTGTAGTAGTCAAAAGAGGCCACTGCAGCATTGGATGTGGGCTCTATTCCCTGGGTAGGAGCAGATGGTGTTACCACTAGTGGTTTGGGAGCATCAAAGCCTTTGTGGGACTCAAGAGCATCACAGGATGATGACAGAGTAATTGAGGCGAGACCTGTGGTTTTTCTCAAAGAGCTGCAGCCAGATAAACAGAGGCTGGGAGCTGGTTTGAAAAGTGTGTCTTTATTAAAGACCTCTTTGTGTTTCTCCCAACTAGTTGAAGTACCGTGAGGAAGTTGTCCATTAGAAGTGGAAGGGTCAGGTAAGGAGAGAGGTATTAGAGGCAGGCTGCTACCTTTAGGTCCCACCTTTGGCAGGTCCTCCTTATTTTCTACTGGATGGGATGTATGCCTATCTGTTTGCCTGTCAGTAATGTTTGATTTCAATCCTTCATGGTTGATTTTACCAAGAGTTCCCAGTGTGTTTTCTTTTGTAAGAGTAACCTCAGGGTTACCAGAGCACGGGAAATAATCATCTGTAGGGTTGGAGATAAGCAATGGCTTGGGTGAGTAGGCTGGCAAGCTGTCTTTGCTCGTATTATTTTCAAAGTTCCTGCCACCATCTAAACCAAGAGAATCTGCTGCTCCCTTAGATATAAGGGGGGTTGCAAGAGGATAGTGAGAGGAGCTCTGATTGGCTCGCTGCGTGCCGTCTTCAGAGTAGTAACGAGTACGATCTTCATAATAGTCAGGTGGTTTAATCAATCCAGGATCAATTAGTCCTTTAGAGTTGTCCATAGATCTGGAGCGTTCCTTGGCCTTGCTACTGCGTTCATTTCTGGACTTCCTCTCTTGGGTGTGAGAGTGTGAACGGTGGACTTTGGAATGATGAACTGATGGACCATGGCTTGGCTCAGGGAAAGGCATTTCCATGCGTCGCTTAGCAAGCTCTCCAGATACATCCCACTCTGGTGTGACAGGCAGATGCGAAAAGTCAAGAATGTTGGGGATGCTGTGTGCAAGATGAAGCCGAGTCCTTTGCCGTTCCATGGCCAGGGCTTGTTCTCTTGGTAATCTAGCCAGTGAAGATGAGTAACCTCGGAACTCTCTATCAGCTTGCTCCAAGTGGGCACCATCACTTGGCTCAAAGCAGAATGCCCTTGACTTGCTCTGTGAGCGGCTAGATTTGGGTTGAGATTGCTTTCTGTGCTTACCCCCACTTCTTCTACTCCTGGAGCTCTGATTGGCTGATGACGCTTTGCTCCTCTGAGCTCGCTCTTCTTCAAGTCGTTTCATGACTGCTGTATGCCGGGCAAGGTTTTCCACGGTCAGATCAGGGTTAATTCTACGTATAATCTCCATTTCTACCTGTCGCGGCAGGTGGCATGGCTCTTCTTCGTCGTGGAGTGGCCATTCCTCTGGGGGAAACTGTGCAGAGAAGGTAGCCAACTGCTTCGCCTTATCCTTCTTAAAACTTAAACGAAACAACTTCAAACCGAACTTCCGCCCACCTGTACCACTTCCAGCTGCTTGTTTCTCCAGGTCTGCAGCTCCTCCACCCCCAGCAACCCCTCCTCGGTGCTTGGCGAGTGTGTCCGCTTTAAATGAGAATCCAAGGGAGCTGCGACTCTTTTCAGTGCTGCCTCCTGCTTGCTGCGGTGGTGTCTGCGAGGAGTGCTGTGATGAGAACACCTCCCTGTGGTCTTTAGGAGATCGACGCTGCAGAGTAGTGTGGTGGCTAGGTGGGTCATCTGCACGATAACTGCTGATGTAAAAACAATCTTCACCAACTGCACAGTGGTTTTGGGTGGACTTTTGGTGCGTTCGATCTCGAAGCCCTCCTGAGGTGGATGGGGGTATGGTACCAGAAAGAGGGGAGGTGCACTGAGTTTGCTGATGCTGTTGTTGTTTTTGGTGCTGGTGTCGGTCGGCTGTTCGCTCGTCTAAGTGGTACCATTTCGAGCTAGTTCGGATTAAACTTGGAGTGATGAAATAGGTTTGAGGTGTGACAATGAAATAGCCATCAGAAGTTGGGTAGATCTTACGCTCATGTACCAGCATGCTAAGTGTGTGTTGCAGAATCTCCTCTGTTGGCATGGGTACACCTGAGGAAAATCAGAAACAGGAACAAATAAGAACAGAAATATTTCACAAGAACCTTATACATCTGTTTTAAGTTTAACTTGGCAACATGAGACCAGAACTGAACGAATGACAATATGAGTCTTTGTATATTATGACATAAAAATTGAAAAAAATTATATATAAATAAATTAAAAAAATAATTATTTAATAAATTTAATAAAATAGATTAATAAATTTAATAAATCATATACATATATATACACATATACATATATATACACATATACATATATATACACATATACATATACATATATATACACATATACATATACATATATACATATATATACACATATACATATACATATATACATATATACACATATACATATACATATATACATATATACACATATACATATACATATACACATATATACACATATACATATATATACATATACATGCATATACACGCATATACATATATATATATACATATACATACATATACATATATATATATACATATACATACAAATACATACATATATATATACATATACATACATATACATATATATATATACATGCATATACATATATACATATACATATATATATACATGCATATACATATATACATATACATACATATACATATATATATACATGCATATACATATATACATATACATACATATACATATATATATATATATACATACATATACACATATACATACATATATCCTGGTCCTACCTCTCTGACAGAACCTTCTGTGTCAATATCAAAGATTTTAGTTCGGCATCGACAGCGCTCCAGTGGGGGGGGGGTACCGCAGGGGTCCATCCTCGGTCCCCTTCTCTTTTCTTTATACCTGCTGCCACTAGGTGCTATCTTCCGCAAACACAACATACCCTTTCATTTCTACGCCGATTGCCAAATTTACTTCCCCCTGAGGCACAGAGGCACACGCTCTATTCAGCCTCTTCTTGACTGCCTGGCTGACATCCGGGACTGGATGGCTTTAAACTTCTTAAGCTTCAATGAGAAGAAGTCTGAGGTCATGCTGTTCCATCCCAGTGGCTCACTCATGAACCATGACATTGACCTTTTCTCTCTAGCCCCGCTAGAGAAACAAAAGGTCACTAATCTGGGGGTGATAATGGACCTGTCCTTAAAACTCAACAGTCACGTAAACATGATGGTCAAATCCTGTTTTTTTCAGCTGAGACAGCTGTCTAAGCTGAAACCTATACTCTCCAAGAAGAACCTTGAGACAGTGATCCACGCCTTCATAACATCTAGGCTTGATTACTGCAATTCACTTCTGTTTGGAATCAGTCAGTCCTCCATTGCTCGTCTACAACTGGTCCAAAATGCTGCAGCCCGATTTTTAACTGGTACAGGCTATAGAGAGCACATCACGCCAGTTTTGGCCTCCCTGCACTGGCTACCCATTCACCTT